GATTCTCCTGCCTCAGCCTCCCAAGTAGCTAGTACTACACAGGCACACACCACCACACCTGGCTAATTTTTTGTATTTTTAGTGGAGATGGGGTTTCACCATGTTGGCCAGGCTGGTCTCAAACTCCTGACCTCAGGTGATCCACCATCCTGGGTCTCCCAAAGTGCTGGGATTACCGCGTGAGCCACTGCACCCAGCCAGTTTTTCTTTTATTCTAAGAAGGTAGCAGGGACAGTAAAATTGAGGTTAATTAAGGTATGGTTTTATTTATAGTTAAATACATAAAATTGGCTGGGCGCCATGGCTCATGCCTGTAATCCCAGCACTTTGGGAGGCTGAGGCGGGCAGATCACCTGAAGTCAGGAGTTCAAGACCAGCCTGCCCAATGTGGTGAAACCCCGTCTCTACTAAAAATACAAAAATTAGCTGGATGTGGTGGTGGGCGTCTGTAATTCCAGCTACTCAGGAGGCTGAAGCAGGAGAATCGCTTGAACCTGGGAGGTGGAGGTTGCAGTGAGCTGCGATCACACCATTGTATTCCAGCCTGGGCAACAGGAGCGAAACTCCATCTCAAAAAAATAATTAAAATAAAAATACAAAATTAGCCGTGTGTAGTGGCGCATGCCTATAATCCCAGCTACTCAGAAGGTTGAGGCAGGAGAATCGCTTGAACCCAGGAGGCAGAGGTTGAGGTGAGCCAAGATCACACCATTGCACTCCAGCCTGGGCAACAAGAGTGAAACTCTGTCTCAAAAACAAAAACAAAAACAAAAAACAACTTATGGCTTTGAATACTCCTGATTGGTGTCTTGTCATATATAAAGAGGTAAATCTAAATACTCTTTCCCATTTGGGTTGTGATGGAAGCAAGAAGAATGGTATTCTAGGGAGATGAAGAATCTCTGAACCTTCCACAGGGTAGACAGTTGTGAAATTGAAAAATAAGAGGGACAAAATGCTAATGTTCCTTCTTTGTGGTTTTCAAGCTCTTACTATATGCCAGGCACTTTACCCGCATCACCTCAGTCCTTCATTACAACAGGGCTATGGGGTTAGAACTGTCATCATCAACATGTTACAGCCGAGGAATCTGAAGCTAAGGGAACTTCAGGCTTTTTACCTCAAGGACAGGGTGGGCATGAAGGAAGTCTACAGCCATACTTTTCCCCTCCAAGTTGAGCACAACACAGCTCACAAAAAAAGTTACTTACTGTCAGATTTACATCAGGGAGGCTCCCCAGTGTCTGTGTCTCTGCTATAAAAAGAGAAAGAGAAAGTGAGGAAAAACAGCCAATAGAATAGTTAAGAACATTTTCTTTTATCTAAGTTTTTAAAAAATCTTAATGATGCCTATAATTCTATTTGAAACGAATTCTACTCCATACTCGTCACAATAATTAACGGAGAGACCAACAAAATTTACTGAACACCCAGGAATCAACTTTAGGATGGCCACATTTTTTCATCTAGACAATGAACCCTACTATTTTATGAAATAGAGAATTCTGCCAAGAAGTCCTACTTAAATATGTGCTTTGTTTTTTTTCACAAGACCCTAATGAGTTCTACAAAAATCCAGGAATATTGATAACACTCAGGCATTATTTATTTGTTTATTTTTTTAGAGACAGAGTTTCACTCCATCACCCAGGCTAGAGCGCAGTGACATGATCTCAGCTCACTGCAACTTCTGCTTCCCTGGTTCAAGCAATTCTAATCCCTCAGCCTCCCAAGTAGCTAGGACTACATGCATGCACCACCATGCCCAGCTAATTTTTGTATTTTAAGTAGAGACAAGGCCATGTTGGCCAGGCTGGTTGTGAACTCCTGACCTCAGGTGATGTGCCCACCTCAGCCTCCCAAAGTGCTGGGATTACAGGTGTGAACCACCAGGCTTGGCCTTAGGCATTATATTCTAATTAGATTTTTAAAGACAACAAAAATTCACTTCCTTTTTTTTCAGACAGAGTCTCACTCTGTTGCCCAGGCTGGAGTGCAGTGGCACAATCTCAGCTCACTGCAGCCTCCATTTTCTTTTTCTTCTTTTTCTTTTGGCGAGACAGTCTCACTCTGTCACCCAGGCTGGAGTACAGTAGCATGATCTCGGCTCACTGCAACCTCCGCCTCCCAAGTTCAAGCGATTCTCCTGCCTCAGCCTCCCGAGTAGCTGGGACTACAGGGGTGCACCACCACACCCAGCTAATTTTTGTATTTTTAGTAGAGATGGGGTTTCACCATGTTGACCAGGCTGGTCTTGAACTCCTGACCTCAAGTGATCTGCCTGCCTTGGCCTCCGAAAGTGCTGGAATTACAGGCGTGAGCTACCGTGCCGTGCCCAGCCTCCATTTTCTTAAATAAGTTTTGCATTTACTCATGAGAAGGGAGACATGGTTGCCTACAAATGAAAATAATCACTGTGGCCACAATGTAATAGGAACCAGGGCTTGTGCTAAACTTTCAGTGAAGGAGCTCATTTTAGAGATACTTAGAAGCACTTACTTTAGAACTACTCTTCTAAAGTAGAGACTGACTGTTAGTCCCATTGCACAGATGAAGAAACTGAAAATCAGGGAAGTGAAGTGACTAACCCAAGGTCACACAACTTAGCAAATGACAAAATGGCCTTCCAATTTAAGTCTGCATAGATTTAAATGCACATTCTTAATTATACTGCCTTCACCAGCCTTTACCTCAGTGCTGTCATTATGAAGAGGGTCACGTTGCCCAGCCACCTACTCACCATCTTTCCTTCCTGTTCATTTGTTTATTTCATCTGCAGATCCATTCCATGAATATGCACTACGCCCTTACTCTAGGCACAGGAACAGAGCAGGGAACAAGAGGGGCACAGGCCCTGACCTCATGAACGCTGAATTCTAAACCTAAGTACCTTGCCAGCTCTTGGGAAACTAAGCGTGCTTACTCATTTTTATGGCTGAGTCAGAGATGTTGAAACTTCTTAAATGTCACAGCCACCTTCTGGAAGCCTTAAGTCGGAACCCTTTAATGTGTATAAAGGGTTTGACTAAATGCTGGTTTAACAAACTATAGTTTAAATATTATAAAGGCATAGCCTCAGCCTAAAATTATTGAAGAAAATAAAGATTATGTTCCACTTACTTTTGCCCTAATTACCAGAAAAAAATTTAAAGTATGAAAACCACAGGCCGGGTGCGGTGGCTCACGCCTGTAATCCCAGCACTTTGGGATGCCAAGGCAGGCGGATTACGAGGTTAGGAGATTGAAACCATCCTGGCCAACATGGTGAAACCCTGTCTCTACTAAAATACAAAAAATTAGCCAGGCGTGGTGGTGTACGCCTGTAGTCCCAGCTACTCAGGAAGTTGAGGCAGTGGAATCGCTGGAACGCAGGACGTGGAGGTTGCAGTGAGCCAACATGGCGCCATCGCGCTCCAGCCTGGTGACAGAGCAAGACTACTTCTCAAAAAAAAAAAAAAAAACCTTCATCAGTACAACTGCTAAGTAAACATGAATCTTAAGTGCACATAAGATTTTCAACTGTAAATCCAGTTTCAGCCTCCCTATAATTATTTTTCTTGATAAAAATGGTAAAAATAACTTCTTTTTAAACTTCATTTTGCTATGAAAATGATCAGTAAAATCAAGCACTGTTGTGTTATTACAGCATTTTTTCACACAGATTTGGCCACCAACCAAGATGGATGGGACAGTTGAAGGGAGTGGCAATGTTCTTTCTGGAGAACCCAAGATTTGCCTCAGGGGACAGGTAGCAGTGAAGGTGAGATGTGATGGCCTTAACAGTGTATACATTTAGTAGTTACCATCTATTCGGCACTTATTAGGTGCCAGACATGGTGCTTAGCACCGTATACATACAATCTCATTTAATCCTCAACCACAATAAGTAGGTACTACTATTTTCCCCATTTTTCAGATGACAATACTGAGTCTGACAGAGCCACTTTGCCCAAGATCACACAGCTATTAATTGGGAAAGCTAGGATTTAAAGCAGATCTACTCCAGAGCTGAGAACTCACCTGTGACCCAGTCCTTCCTCCTTCAGGTAGAAGAGAAGTTACATTTGTTCTGTGTTCAAATTCCAGGCCCTTGGATCTCTTACTTTTAAAGGCTCTACTCCTTTTTTTTTTTTTTTTTTGCTGAGAAAGGGTCTTGCTCTGTTGCCCAGGCTTGGAGTACAGTGGCACCAACTCGGCTCAGTGAATCCTCAGCCTCCTGAGTTCAAACAATATTCCTGCCTCAGCCCCCTCAAGTAGCTGGGACTACAGGCCCATGCCACCATGCCTGGCTTTTTTTTTTTTTTTTTTGAGATGGAATCTTGCTCTGTTTTCCAGGCTTCAGGACAGTGGTGAGATCTCAGCTCACTGCTCCCAGGCTCAGATGATTCTCCTGCCTCAGCCTTCTGAGTGCCTGGAATTATAGGCATGCACCACCATGCCCAGCTAATTTTTGTATTTTCAGTAGAGATGGCGTTTTCACCATGTTGGCCAGGCTGGTCTCAAACTCCTGACCTCAGGTGATCCGTCTGCCTTGGCCTCCCATAGTGCTGGGATTACAGGTGTGAGCCACTGCACTCGGCCTAATTTTTTGTATTCTTAGTAGAGATGGGGTTTTGCCATGTTGCTCAGGCTGGTCTCAAACCCTGAGCTCCAGTTA